GGGTAGTCACTTTCATTTATATCTAAGATATACCTTTAAAGATACCAGCTTACACATTGGTGGACTGGTCCAACAACCTTTATAACATCCTAGCTATATACGGAAATTATCCCCTCCCTTCGACATATTGGAGCCTCCCCCCGGCATTGTGCTTTTAAGAATGGTAAATCCTCGGCTACGTGTTAGAACCCTCCCGAAGGGGCGGGGGGAAGAGGGGGTGGGGGGCACGTTTTTAATTGACTGGCGAAGTTCTAACATCAAAAACGCTCTGGTTCATAAAACAGTACGTCAAATCTAAAATTGCACTGAAACTGAGTGTTGAAACATCTTTATTACTATAAATATTCAACAGAAAGCAAACAACATATACCTGTGAATCAGATAACAAAATTTAAATTATTTCAGTAGAATAACTGTGATATAGATCCAACAAATTTCTACTTTACTTTTGGCCGGACAACCGAAACAGCGTTAACGTTCCCGAAGACTGAGATTAAAATGATTTGTTTGATCTCTGTAGTCGATCTAATTAAAAATATCCACCATCTAAATTCACAGGTGTATCTATATAGTTTGCACTCAACCATTTCAGGCCCGTAGGCTGGGAGGGTTCGGACGAACCCCCCACAAGCTTAAAAGGTCCGGTGTTTCTCTTTTTTTATTGTTCTATTTTAAAATTCTTTTGTTATGAACTGTTTTTGACATAGAAAATTGTTATGAACTGCTCATACTAGCATCCAGTTCTTACACACTATACTGTGCATTGAACTAATTTGGTTAAACATAAACACAAACATAATTTAGATCCGCATTATGAAAAAACAAACCCCCCATGATTTGCAAGGCAGCCTACGGGCCTGCATTTATACAAAACATATAGATATTATGACAGAAGAAATAGATATTACTAATACGCTCTAATTGCAATGTTTTCTTTTGTGCCTATTTTGCACTGTCATACTTTTTAAAATAGTCAAGTTTTGTTTCACGTGTTTAATAACCTCACTCTATGTAGGTTCTCTCTGTATATTATTTATAACCATTCGCTACGCTAACTCGAAAAGAGAACTTTTCAACACTCGAAGATAAAATCCGTATCTTCGCGCGCCCATGTAATATCCTCTATATATCTAATATGTCTAATATTTTAAAATGCCCTATTTTTTATAACTAACATAACTGGATTATTGGGATGCAAATGTTAAAATAGCTTTTCATCCTAGAAACGAGTTGTCAGTTAATAATCATTTAAAAACTTTCTCTTGAATGTAATATCCGATTAAAAGACTAAGAACGCAGACATCAGTTTAACTTTTTTATACAATAAAAATATTTACTATTCTTATTTCATATATATATATTTTTTAATTTTCATAAAAAAGTTTTTCTGCATTATTCCGACAAGTTAGTGCATTGTTGCAATCCAGTCTGGATTGCCATCATGATTAAATATAGTTGAATTGACTACCTATGTATGAATTATTTCAATTTGAAAACATAAATCTATTATAAACTATAYATACCTACTAGACTAATTATGAACATGATTTGCATAAAGCAACTTGTTGAGGCTGAAAGTCTCGGCAAGGACACAGTCGGACCTGGCTTGGATTTTTAGCAACACAACTGAAAGCCAAGGGGTGATTCTGTAGTGTGCATGACATGTTTTTTGGTTCGTATGACGGTGCATCAAGTACTGTTTCTGTTTTAAAGGTTCTACAATCGATATCCGATCTAAAATGGACAACAATGTTGAAATATCAATCAAAAAATATCAATTGATTATTGTATAATATTTGGTATATTGCGTGTACCTAATTGTTAAACAATCATCATAAAACCTCCATTTTGTAGTTCTGCCTGTACAGACATACTTACTTTTTAAAAGTGTCTTGTGTGTTTATGATGTGAAAGTGCATTGACTCACATATCAAACCTGAAGCATAAATCACATTTCAATATGAGGAAGAAATTTTGCTTATGTAATATTTGATCATCGGGCAAATTCT